GATATCATAACTGTGGCTAACTTTTTGCCCAGTGGTGAACTTAATAGCTAAAGAAAGGCATCGCTATCGATAGAAATTATCGCATAGAAAAATTTTCCCTTAACTCTAAAGTCGACGGATCCAAAAATTTTGCATAATTTTGGTTTCAAACAAGAAAACAATTCTGGATTTAGTAGTATTAAGTTGGCGCACCCTTCTTCAGTACTCAACATACTTTCAAATTACTGACATCTAATGAGTGCTTTAAAGAATTTTCAGTAATTATTACGTTTGATTATTTTCCGGCAAAAGGTCACTTGTCTATGACATTGTTATAACTAAATTAGGTGGTATGCAGAGATATTAGACTTTCCATTTTAATATAAATGTTCAGGCTTACCTATACTTAAAATTTCCATTTGCATTTCATTTCCATTACAATGAAAAAAACAACTGCAAATTGGTGAGTATACCACTTATGTGTCACTACTGCAATTTTAATAATTGGTACCGCAGATTAAAATAAACAATTTTATTGTCAATCAATCTTTTTAAAGCATTATATGCAGTCGACAATTAACAAAGTATGTTTGAGCTGAAACGCAATTAAAAATTCAAAAAAAATTTTAGTCCATTTTGTTTATCATTCGTTTTGGTTTCAGTGGCGCATGTAAATTTGGGCACGGCTTTAATAGCAGCTGGCAGATGTGAAGAAGCAGCTGCTATTCTTCGGAAGGCCTCTCAACTTGATGGTGTTGGAGTTAAAGATAGAAGGGAACACGAAAATGCCAAAGTGTCCGCGCTGTTGCAGCTGGGAGCTCTTCACAGCGACCAAGGTGAACTTCAAAAAGCACTTGCTGTGTACAGAGAAGCCGCTTTAAACCTTCCGGATCATTATCCTCCTCAGGTAATGTAAATATACAATATTTTTATTACGTTTATTGTGATATGATTTCAACTGATCCTGCTAATTGTAGATTACCAAAATGGGCGACTATAATACTTGGAATGTCCCCTTGCCTACTGTTTGGAATATATATTTTTAAACAACTTTATTCTCATTACTAAATAAAATGTTTGCCAATAGTTAACCTTGCCCAACTTTTACGGCAAGAATATGTCCGTTTTAGGAACACAAATATCTATAAATAGATGCCCAAATTATATGGTATTTCCAAAAGGTAGCTCATATTGACAATATATTTTAATATAACTATTTCTATAAAACTATTCAATTATAAAAGAAAAAGTTAAGTAATTACTGTTTCAAACTAGATTACTGACGACAATTAAAACAATGCGGAAGCATTTCCGAGCAATTCGATTTTATCCAACGCAATTTGCACTTCACGCGTCAATTGTTTCTGTCGGAAATGATGAGTTCGACTGAAATCGAAATTGGTTCGCTGAAAATTCACTCTTTTGTTTCTAGATTAATACGTCAGGTTGGACAAATGCGGTTGCTATGTTTAAAAAAATTTGATTTGGTGTTTGCGCTGATGAAGCTGTTTGAAGTGCTTTGACACTTGGCCTTTTAGCTCAGACATAAACAGTACCGGAAATGTTATCGATTTTTAATTTTGCAATTTTAGAATGAAATTGTTTCGTTTTCACAGTGCTCATAGTTTCTTTATTGTAAAGTTCTCGGTGTGTTAGGGTAAAGTCATTGGGCTTCAACCGTTGGAGTCCAACATTCCTGTCAAAATTTCTTCAAAAAAGGGTTTAATTTTTTAGAGCTGGCACTTTGAACACCTAATAGTTATGTCCGCTAACATTATTGGATCTTGAGTGCGAATCAGTATACAGGATGATTGAAAATTTGCAAGGTTCTTTATAAGGGTTATAGGGGCTTCCTTATACAGTGTGATTCAAAAGTGGCGTCACTCCTCTGGAGGTCTTGTCTGGGGGTGTCTTGCGAGTACAGAAAAAATATTTAAAAAAATTAAATATTAAATGTTTTTCAAGGTAATCTGCCTAATTACAATACGTAAATGCCTGTTCCTTCGTCATTATTAAAAACTCTAGTAACCATGGATAAATATGATGCAAAGAAAATAAAAGATCCAATAAAATGAGTTGAGGTTAGGATAACGGTGTCACTTTGCCGTCAGTGCTGCAACAAAACAGCCCCCCGAGTGCTGCCATCTTTTCGGAGCAAATGACGGCTATTTGCACCAGTGAACCGAAGGCTCACCGGCAAACCGTAACAGGCAAATAATTTAAGGGGAAGATGAAGTGCCGCTTAAGTGGAACCTAAAGTCAGATTCCAGTCAGATTTGAAGACTAACCTCAAA